GATTTATACGTAGAAAACAGAAATAACTCGGTTAATCAGTGCCAAATCATTTCAAAAGGATAACTTTTGGTCAAGAAAATGAGACCAGTTCACATAAAACACAAGTTATATAGCAACATCTGGCAGTATTTTTCATCAAAGGGAGGTCTGTCTCATGAAGGCCTGTCCAGCTGATGCCATCATTTTATTTTGAAGGAGAAAAGGAAGTACTTCATGAGTTGAACACTTGACTACAAAAATACTTAACAAGCCTATTCCACTTGTTTTTTTTAGAGTCTTTTTAGCCTCAGTAAAGTGGTCTTTATTGAACTGTATATGGACAGTAAACTGGGTTCGGAAACTCGATTCAGTTTCCGACACTGGAAACTGAATCCAGGACAACCATGTCTCCACATGGAGACATGGTTGCACCATGCACCGTGCACCATGTGCAGCCTCTGCACATGGTGCACGCTCTAAACTGAGCCACCCAACGGGCACAAACAAAACAAGCCTCCATCACTTAAAAATATAAATACCAAATGGCTAACTGTTAGCTGCTAAGCACACTGAAAAAGAGTTTAAGATTAACTTTAGCACTTGAAGAAGTTGTATAACAAATATAAACTCAATAATGCAGGACTTTCTTCTGTTTTATATCTTGTTTTAGTTGATTGTATCAAATTCCAGAAATGATTCAAATAACTTTGTCATGAATTATTTATGATACAACAAATGTAAATTAATGAAATGTTCAGCTATAATTTAAAAATAAAAATATTGAAAATGTTGCAAATTTAAATATTCTGATGCCAGAACCGAGAAGATACTCTGATGACGTCTTTAAGCTAAGCGGAGCAAAATTACTCTGAATCACTCCCATCACATCCTTTTCCCTTCTCCTCTGTCACTGCCCAAATCTCACCTCACCCTCACTTCTCCATCTTCTGTCGCTTTTTTCAGCCCTCTCTATTTCACCTCCTTTAACCCCTCCTGCTCCCCTGGCTCCTCATCTTCATTTTCACCTCCTCCTCTTCCTCCTTCCCTGGCTTGATGGAAGCACAAGAGCAGGGACGGTTCATCTGAGATTGATGGAGTTCTGACAGGCTGATCCCTCTGCCCTCTCCTGAGGGCTTGCAGCTGTGCCCAAGCTCCCAGACGCCTACCTACCCAAAACTCACATCCACAGAGAAACGGCAGGAACGCAGCCGCCCACATGGGCACGCATGCCTGCATTTATAGAGCTCCAGAGGAATGGCACATGTGGATTCACACACACCTCCACACTGACTTGTGGAAGTGTGTGGACTGCTTTATATAAGTAATCACATTTTGGTGTGGAACATGTTGAAGATAGGGCTAAGATTCTTAGGCTTTTAAAGCATAAAACTAATATCAATCAGGTTAAACTTTTAAGCTCTAAGTAGACGTGTATTTTTCCATTACCGCTGGCATAAAGTCGTTTTAATAAGATGACAAAGGAGCAGTTTCTGATCACTTTCATCTGCACTCAGCATAAGAATGTGATGCTGCTCTTCCTCCGCCTGCTGAATGGCACTGCCTAGTTGGCTGAATGAAGGATAACACGTTTGGTTTTTGTTCATAATATTTTGTTTGCAAAATACACAAACAGTTATAGTGTGCGGGAACTAAAAAAGACCCATCGTTTTCATGTTGCTACCTCAACGCATAATGTTTAGTGAGAAACGCACCGTTCTGTCGGGCAATAACAAATAAAACAAAAACAGAACAGAAAGGTCTCTCTGGTATCATAAAACTACGTTTTTGGGAACATTAAGGCTTTTCATGCAGCTGCAGTGGAGAGGTACACCGCAACAGAACTTTATGTCAGTGTACGCATCTTTCAACAGCAACATATCTCTGCACGCAACTGAATTACTCACCCGAAACAAGCTCAATGCAAACATCACGTATACTTTAGAAAAATCAACTTACGTCGAAATGGCGACCTATTAGCATCCAGCTAGCGCAAACTCCATAAAGCTACAGATGCCAGTCGGAGGAATCCCCGCGCACGAGAGGGGATTTCCCCAACAGCTGCGCGTGCTGCATCAGGTACAGCTGGCACACAGGTTGGCGACATATCAAAACAACTCCAAAGTGATATGAACGCGTTTTATTTAAAAATATATCAAAACATCACCCTTGAACATTTTCTTCAGGTGGTTATTTGCTCTGCTCCAACCAAATCTCGAGTCAGCTCTATGTTTCCTGCTGTTTTAAGTTTTAGAACGTAATAAAATCGAATTAATTTTAGAAATTGAAAAATATTCCTTGTTTAGTAGTGACAAAACAAAAACAAGTCCCTCTGTGAGCGTCTGTGTGTTTTAATTATGATTCACACTGTAATAGTTATTAAAAAGTCGTTTCTGGAACAAGACTTTCATTCATTCATTCGCTCTTTCATTCTCTCACACCCTGCACGGTTCACCTGCTGGTCTCAGACTATTTCAGGGGTTTCCTCTTTTCTTTTTTCACATTTTTGTCTCCAGTGGTCCATGAGGCATAACCTCTTTAAGGATTTGTTCTGTGCCAAGTCCATTAGCGTAATCTCCCAAACAAAAGCCGCACCTCGTTTGCTCTCTCTCTTTCTTTTTCTCTCTCTCTCTCTGTCTCTCTCACATGCATACACACATACACACACACTTCACATCCTCCATCAGCACATTTACCAATGCTCCCCCTCCTGTTATCTGGGGAATGTGATGTGCCGTTTCTCTTTGAAGGCACTGTCACAGGACGGCTTTATTTCGCCTGTCCTCCAGATGCAGGCCTCTCCATCTCTGGCAGGGTTTTTCCATTCAAGACAAAGAACAGGGCAGGCCGAGCTTGGAAGCCCGGCTGGCTGACTGTCTCATTAGGAGCAAGACAACACTGAGTCAACACAAAAGAGAGGGGATGTATTTAGTCCAGTGAAAGATGGACTAATGGAGAAACAGAGGCTAAGTCATCACATTTTGTGTTTAACTGGTTGATTTTACCTGGTAAGTTCAGTCGGCGAGTGTAGGCTTTTTCTTTTTTTCTAAAACAAATATAGTTTTCGTGTCACAGGTTGCTCAACAGCAGCAGCAACTTGTTTGTGACAAAATTTCAATGTTGCAGTGATAACGCATTTCTTATCTGTCCCAGCTTGTCAGCGTGCCTGACAGGCACGCAGTCAAAAGGTTCAACTGAGGATTTTTTTTTTTATTTTCTGACACAAGCGCTGCTGTTTCTTACACAAGCCTTTTTCGCTAAGCAAATCCTATAAATAAATCTGTTCACAGATTGGCTCAGCTAAATGGTGCTAATTTTGGTCTTGATACAGTTTTGCAGGTGTCTAATACAACATATGAACTCCATTCATGTGCATTTTTTAAATAATCACAAAAATTAATAGCTAATTTTTCCTAAATAATGGATTTATGTTATTGAGAGAGAGCTTGGGTTGTTGTACTCAAATATTTAAAATAAATAAATAAATAAAATAAATAAAAAATAAAACACAAACAAACTTGACCCAGTTTGTTCAGTTAGAGAAGCAGGAGCACAAATCATTCTTCTTAAGGGTTCAATTTTTAAGTAAACAACAACTTAATCAAATTTTGTTGAGCCTCTTTCACAAAGAAATGAGATGATAAATATGATATATAATCATGTTACAGGATTGTGTTAAATTTAACTTACCTCAGAAACAGAAACTCTGTTACTTAAGTCTGCATTAGTGTTAGCATGTTGCTAGTGGTCTATTTTGCTCAAAATTCCCACTAAAAATACAAAAAGTTTAAATACTGTTTTGTAATTCTTTGGTAGCCTTGAAATTACAGGCATTAGTTTCTAAAGTGTAGTTCAAGCCTAAATTTGAATTCCAGTGCGAGACTTTTACATATCCCAGAATGCCATTGTTATTGGAGCACATCTTGCTTTGGTATTAGGCACATAAAAAAAAACAGGTTAAAAAAAATGTGTGTATCAATCTGTATCATCAAACAAACCACTTTTGTTTTTTCCCCCAACCTGGTTGATTAGAAAAGAGGGTTCAGACAGTTTCATTGGTGCTGAATCATAGTTGGCACTCTCTCAAAAATTTTTTCTGCTTTACGTGGGTAAAGAAAAGTGTAATTTAAGCTACTAAACAAACCGTCACCAGTCTTATCGCATCAGATGCCTTCTGACTCGTGTGCACTCAGCCAAACCGCCCGTTAAAATGCTTCACGAAAAGATTCAACTTGACCCAACCGCAGCTTCTGTGTGACGACGAGGAATGCAAGCAAATGAATTTTCTGTTTCTGTGCTTGCGTGAACGTTTGTGTTATGTAAACCTCATTATCTCTGTAACTACATCACATTCTTGTTATTAAGCCTCTCGGAGATCATCCGGCACTCGGAGGAACATCAAAGTGTTTCACAAAAACATTAACAAACAAGAGTCAGAAATGCACACACACACACACACACACACGCACACAGCAGCCATGTTGTTCTTAAACACACACACGCGCATTCTTCAAAAGCAACTAATGGTGACAAAACGACTTGAGACGGGTGTTGATTTATGACGTCCGCCGTAATCACAATCAGTCCGGGACCCTGAGTCGAAAAGATGCTCGATCGTATCCTTGAGCTTTCCACCTGTCACCGGAGATGCCTCATGAAAAATATATCCATCTTCTGGTCACTGTATTCACCTCCTCCCCACCTCCCCACCCCCGCCTGCCTGCCTGCCTGCTCTCACCCTCGACATCGTTCGCTGAGAGCAGAAACTAGTTGCCATGGCTACAGTCATTAACACATCTGGCATACTTATCTGGCACACGCGCGCGCTCACACGCGGCAAAACACAAACCCACATGGGTACGTGCTTGCACAATAAACGACATACATTACGTACGGCAGACGGCGGGGGAAATAAAAAAAGGAAACATGAATATGTATTGCTTTTTCTGTGCTGCTCTCAGTTTCAGGGCCGAGGTCCGCAGCACGCGTGTGTGAACGGGAGATAACGGGTTGAGGTTTGATGGGGAGAACAGCGAGAACTTTGGGCCTCCGACTTAATCCCATGGCTGAATTTAGCCTTCTTTATCTACATATGACAGGGAAGAGAGATGAAACTGGAGAATCCTCATGATACTGAAATTATGCCCTATTCAACGTTCACACTTCCTGTTTTCTCTGAGCTAGCGCCTGCACCCCTACTGAGATTTTATTTTATTTTTTTTTTCGATTATTGATTTAATCGTTGTTGGAGCTTTTTCACATCTAGTAGAGATCCATTTTGGACTGAGTACCAGCACACTCAGATATATTCCTGCTTTGGTGGTGGTTTGATGTCCACCTTTGACACAATTTTCACTTGAGTCTAAAGTAAAAGTTGAATCAGGTCAGGTCTTTTTGTCCTTTTTTGATCTTGCTGTCTCTTGCTTTTTTTTTTTTTGGATGGTTCTGTGCAACATGCGATATTTCACGGATACCAGCTCTGACTGCCGATGATTCAAGGTCATTTTCTATTTTATACACGTAGTCTACAGTAAGGAAAAGGGTTTACTTGACTTCAATACACAACAGTTACCAACAGGAGCTCATTAAACAGTTATTTTGGTTTCATCCGATGTTATAATCTGTCATATTTTGTAAGAGTCAACACGTTCGTACAAGAATCGGAGAACATATTCTAACAAAGTTTTTAGGAATATAATAATATGTAATTTCATTTAATTATACTTTAAACATGAGCATTTTTCTTGTGGATGTGGCTAACACATTCTAAATTTAACATTACAAGAAATATTTGTAATAATTACTGGTTTTTCACTACAGGAGATAACATTGCTGTTAATACTGACTTTCTGGCGTCCATAAAACCCATGAAGGCCTTTTTTTTTTGTTTGTTTTTTGAGTCCAGTTTCATTGGGTTCACTGCCCTGCAGGGGTTAGATTGTTCCCTGATTCATGTTGCAGAACTCGATGGTGAACTGCTGAGGCAATTCATTCCTTTGAGTCAGGAAAACATTTTAAATATCTAAAAAAAAAAAAAAAAAAAAAAAAGTGCCTTGAGGACTGGGATGAGCAAAAGCTGTCAAAAGAGGGTGTGATCCATAATGAGCAAAGATGAAAAAATATTTATCAGCAGAATGAATAATGGTGCTTAAATTTGTATGAAGTACTTGGAGACAATCAAATATTCATCTAGACATAAATAGATGTTTTTAGTTAAGTATTTGTTTGCTGGTTCTTTTAGCAGTTTTAAAACATTTTCTTTACACAAGTCTAGTTAGAGGAACCAGATTGACAGCTTTTTTTTTTTAAACAGCTGAGCACTGCTATAAATTATTTAATGTGTCTGTGTCAGATCTGCTCTCTTTGTCTTTATGCTTTGGATTTTCTCTCCATTGTATGACTTCCTGATGTCAAAGGTCTCCTTTGAAAACAGTTGGATGAGTTTAGATGGAGCACATCCTGGATTATCTCTAGTGAACAAACATTTCTCTGTAGGATTTAGACTTGGAGATGGAAGAAGGGTGATTTATGTGCATTTTTCTTTAAAGAAGTCATGATATGGACCTTAACAAGATTCCCAGCGTATTTTAGAAGAGGGGGTCCTGTTGGAATACGTGTTGCCTAACAGATCTGTTTTGGGCCATGATGAGACCTATGTGTATTTGCAAATTCAGTAAGTAGTACAGTGCAGTCATTAACAGCTCCTGCCTGAATGACGATCTGGGTAAGCCCCTCCTTCTTTGCCAGAAAAAGTGACAAGTGGTTTAATGATATAACTGGGTTTTGAAAAAGATGCATCTTTCTCCATAGGTTTGAAACCTGAAACAAAGTTTTGGGCAACCCAAGATGAGTGTAGAGTAACTCACATAAATCCATATACTTTCCTATAAGGCTGACAAAAGATCAGAAAATGACTTTTTATTTCACACATTCTACACTGTTTTTAAGAAATCAATTTTCAGTAATATAGTTTGAACGGTAGTTGAACAAATAACTCCAAACAAACTTTGCAATAGCTCTCTAAGAAAGGGCTGATTAGGAAACAAACTTGATACCCATTTTAGGACCAATACCTGTCTTTTCTTTTCTTTTTTTTTTTTTCAGTATTTAAATTGTGCACAACACAGGAGGATTTCACTGCCATGATTTTGTAAGACTAGATCATATTTACCAATAAGCAAATGTTCAGAATACAACTTGATCTATTAATTTCATCACTTGTTTATTCGTGTTTGAGCGTTCATGCCATCCCCTGACTCAATGACACCCTGGTAAAGAGCCATATGTCCCATCTTCCTGAGAATACAAACAAATATTATGCTGTAATGCAGTGGATTGATTGGAGCAGGATTATTAATAATGACTGCATATGAATTGGACTAGTTTGTCTTTTGGATCACCATGTTGACCCAAAAGCACTGGAGGCACTGGAGCAAGCCAGAGTTGTAATCTTTTGTAATTTTGAAAGAGAGAGAGAGAGAAAAGAAAAAAAAACAATCAGGATGTTGAAACGCATCCAGAAAAATTCATCACAGAACGAAACATTCCACGCCAGAAGCCAAAACATGTTCATGCAGCAAACACCTTCAATTACAAAACCATTAAAAACAGGTCCTGGAGAGCAAAACGGGACAGTGTTTACCAGACAGTGCATGTGGCTCAAACACATTTACACACACACACACACAGCTGTGAGAGAGTTTGACAGCCCAACAGATGCCTGTGCGTTACGTGCATCTTGCTGCCCCCACCCTAACCCCTGAGGACATCCCCATGCTCTCTCTCTTTCTCTCTCTCTCTCTCCCTCACCACTTCACATACCGCAGCTCTCTTAGTCACTCATTTTCTTCAACAACAAAACAACCAGACCAACCAGTTGCAGCATCAGAAAAATAACAAGTGGTGATTGATGTACGGTTCCTCAGCTTGGTTTGGTAGCATTCCAGGTGAGGCTGAGCGCATATTTCTCCTTCCGTCTGAGAGCGCACGCAGAAGACAGGGAGTAATGGAAGAGAAAAACAAACAGACGCACACGCCGTGCTTCTAAATATACTGGAGAGAAACCTGCACCTGTTACAAAACCTGGTGGTCGGAGACAGCAAATGAAAATAAAATTGTTTGAAAGCGATCAAAACAAGTCTTCGGCCACTTTTGCCTTGCCCACCTTGCGAGTGAGGCGCCCCTCAAGCAGAAACCTCAGACTTCGTTCACAACAAACCCAGCCACACAGAGAGAGCTAAAAGGAAGCTTTTCCGCTCTCTTACCTTTTTGCCTTTCTTCTTGCGATGGGCTCCTTTCCCGCCGCCTGCTTTCTCCTTAGCCTCCTCACTCATATTCAGAGATCTCCCTCAGTTCCTCTCCGCTCCCCACTTGTGTTAAAATCCAGCATGTAGGAGCTTGTGGAGCGGAGCTGCCTTCAGCGACTCAATGTTGCCACAGAAATGTCCATTTAGGAGCAGAGGAGGCAGATTCGCTCCCATGCAGACTGGGGGTAGAGTGTGAGAAAAGAGGAGAGACTGGGAAGACTGTGCTGATGCTTTTCTTTCTCTCACTCCCTCCACTCCACCTACTCCCCTTTCTCCTCCTCCTCCTCTTCCTCTCTTCTTCTTCCTCTCCACATTTGCAAAAGCGCACGCAGGCACAGGCTTTCTGCGAGCAAGCCTTGCTGGTTTGCTTGAGGTCCACTCCCACTTGCTGCCTTTGGTGAGCACAATTGGCGAATCTCACCAGCACCCTCACGGGCGAGGGTGTGGAGGCAGAGGGAGAGGAGAAAAATAGAGATGGAGGAAGAGAATGAGAAGGTGGAGGAGGACGTTGGTATATTCTAAGGAAAGTAGGAGAACATAGAAGAAAGTAGAAGGAAGGAGCGTATTGCTGGAGGAATGTGCTGCTGCCTACCTGAGGATGGAAACTGGAGACACTCTCAAAAAAAAAATATACAAAAAATAAATAAATAACTGAGATGGAGATCAGATTGAAAGAGATGGTGGATGAGAAGAGAGAACGCTACTGGTGTTAGTGGCAGAAAGGAAAGGCTGAACGAGAGAAGAAAGAGGCGTCATCCACGCAATCTCCTCACTCTGCCGACTGGCTGACTTCTGCTGTTCCTCTCTCCACAGACGATGGGAAATGAGACGAGTCTCTCCACAGACAGCCTGGCAGAGAGATAGAGTGAAAGAGAGAGGAGGTGGGGAAAGGGGGGAGCAGGGTTAAGAGGCAGAGGATCACTGACACGATGCATCAGGTCCTTCCAGAAAAGGAAGTGTCTCTGGTAGCCTCTGCCAGCGGGATCAGCTTACTGAAAACTGGAACAGACTCAGTCACTGGGCCGAAGTGTGTAAAAGTCATTTTGTTGGAAGGAGAAACACAGCTGGCATGCAACATGCATTCAGTACTGCTACTAGCCAAACAATAATCCAATCAATGGCAAATGGAAAAAAAAAAAAAAAAAAAACGTCATCTTCTGAGCTCCAGAAAGCTGCACCCATGGAGAAAGCTCTTTCTAATGAGGCAGTAGGAATCAGAGAGAAGGAGGAAGAATGGAGAGAGAGAAAAAAAAAACGGATGAAATGGAACGAGACAGGAGAGAAGGGTGGGGTGTGTTGAGTGTGGAAAACGGGAGGAGAGAATTTATGGTGGCAAATGAGGATGAGAGAAGAAGGAGGGAGGTGAGGGGAGGCAGAATGGGATATTGGTCAAACAGTCAAAGCAAGGAGCTGAGGAGAGGATGGTGAAGCAAAGGGATTGAAAAAACAAACAAACGGGGAGCAGGCGGAGGCAAAGAGAAGAACCAGAGATTTGTTGTGATTGTCTTGCGAACAACACCTTCTTTATTCCAGGGGACCACGATGCCTTTAACCCCGTCGTCTCGCCCTCGCTCCTCCTCATGAGCTGCCATCTCCGCCAAGCATCAGTTTGGCCTGGATACCCCAGCATGGAAACAGTAGAGTATGATTAAAAAATTGTTAAATATGCTTTGTTTTTTGTATTTTTGTCTTTGTTCGCTTAGCCAAGTAATAAAATTAGAGCAGCAAAAGCTGAAGCTGTTAAACGTAAACTCAAAAGGGATTCTTCAGGAAAAAGTTTCATTAAGTCTCAAAGTTTGAGACTTGATGAAACCTCTTCAAACAAATCGTCGGAGAACAACACACACCAACGGAACGATGTGACCAGCGGCGGCAAAGATGGGCGACTTGTTTCCCTATTATCGTGATGTTCTGTTTTCTAAAATGCTGTCATTGTTTTACGCCAGATGCAATGAGAAGCACACCTCCCACTATTATCTCCCCAGCCCACCATTGACAGAAAAGCCCCTGTATCCTTTTTGGTCAGCAGTCTTCCTGTCATGCAATATTCTTTCAAATGTAACGTTACATCAGGAACGCTGACCTTAACGTTAATATAACAATGGGACTCGTCATCTGCAAATCCCTGATCTGAAATACCTCAAATTCATTTGTTTTTGTTGTTGTTGTGACAAAAAAATCCCCAACTGGAACAAAGATGCTCAAGCACAGGCTGCTCAAACTTTTTCCAGTTGTCAAATAAGTGCAAGTGGTGAGCCTAGAGAGGTCAAAAGGTCACCAAGGGTATAAAAAATGGATAAAACCATTGCAAAAAAAAACACAAATAGTATGGATAATTTTTTTTAAAGCCTGGTAAGTACCCTATTTCTTGTTAAACTGTGGTTGAAGCTGGAGTCCCAGCAGAAAACGTGTTTACCACATCAAATAAAAGCACACCTTGTACCTTAAGGAAAACTTTAAACTTGACTTTAGTCAAACAGAAAGAGTTTGAATCCAGGGTTTGCTTTTATTACAGGTATCCTGCATTTCACTGTTCAGGGAGAAATCAAAAGCTATGACCCAGCAACATTTCATGTCGTCCAATGACAACCCTCATCTATCTTATCTTCTCCTCACCGTGCCGCCCCCACGTAGGATTACACGACACCGCACATTATTCCGAACCTGGAGAGATCCTCTTTTACTCCGGTTTGATTGCTAACCAAAGTTGATATGTGCACATTTGATTCTGCTGGCGATTGTGATGGATAGTGCCGCCGCTGTGCACATCGTCCCGTTGGTGTGTGTCGTTCCCCCGTCCGCGATAACAGTGTTTATTATTGATTCTTTGTGTGAACCATGAGAAACCAACACAATTTAAGCAGAAGGAAATTGCTAATATATGCAGTATATACCAGCTGAATAACATGCACTCAGTTTCCACAGAGGATTTCCCTTTTCTGCACATAGGAGGCTTCATGAAGACTAAAACCAGTGGAGCAGCAGAGAGTGCACTAAACAGCTTATCTTTACTACAGTAAGCATTGCATTTGCAAGGTCCTCAGTCATTCTGGTCACCTGCAATTGCTGAGCAATATTAACTGGCTTACAGTTCCCATGTCATCTTTAATTACCTAGAAAGGACGTGATTGCCGCAGTATGTGAGGCAGGGGAGACTCATAAATATGCAAAACAGGACACCGCTTTAGTAATCCAATAAAGATAATAAACACAGATTTGTGGTTTTCACTTAGTATTATTGGGTAGTCCCACCTTTATGACAACTTTACACAAATGTGAGGAAAATTCACAAAATGCTTAGCAAAACGCAGCCTGGCGTTCGCTGAAAGTAGATCAGAAACTGCTCGTGTTAACCGTCAGCCCTGATTTCTAAATTACTAAATGAAAATAGTGTTTCCACTCTCCGTCAGTATTGGTGTCCTGTCCTTGTGGCGCAGAGCAGACAATGTCACGAGACGAGACGGCGGCCTTTTGACTGTAATCATACATTTTATATTAATGTGACTTTGATCTAAAATACGGTGAGACACGTAACGCCTTCTTTATAGAGCTGTGAAAAGGGGAGAAAAGAATTTAAATTAAAAAATGTTGCCTTTTGAAAACAATGTAATAATTTGGAAATGATTTAGTTATATATTAAAGAAATATATGTTTTACTGAAGAAGCTATATTAGTTTTTCTCATTGTGTTGCATAATGTCTTCTCACAAAACACTGGAAACACGATTTACATCTAAAACATATTTAACTTTCATTTTAAGAAACTTAAGTCCTGTTACATCTGTGAAGTAAAGCATGGCTGCTTGTGAAGTTTCTGGACTTTGTATAATGCATATTGGGATGAAAGGTACACCTTTTACAGTCCACTAATGCAGACAGAGTTAGTTGCTTATGGAATGACATCACGTTCGTTTTCTGTTTCCCCGAAACAGAAAACGAGGCCCTAACAGAGGCCCTAACCCTCGGCTATTTAATTGAAAATAGCCGAGGAGAGTTGGCATTCATCGACGCAGACAGAGCGTCTGAATAATGTAGAATAAGATTAAATGTTACAATTGGATGCAACGTTTGAATTCTCCAGCAGAGGCTCAAATTTGCACTTACTGTAATTCTCACAATATTTTTGACATGTACAAAAAAATGCTTAAGTGCCTGACTTACTGAGTTGTGGTTTATATTTTCCTGTCAACAAATGTGTTTTCAAAAATCCGAAAGGATGTGTACAGTAATCGTAAAAAAAAAAAGTAACTGATGAAATAAGCAACACTCGACAACATTTTTTACCCTCACCACTTAAACTATTGAGGTTGGAATGTTAATATAGTTATTCGTGGATAAATTAGCTCTGATTCCAGTCATTTCAGTAGCTTTCAGCACCAGACAGTTCCCACTGTTGTGGCTCTGTTGATGTGCATAAAATTGTTGGGAGAAATCTTGATGACAGCTGTAACTCAGCAGTGTCAGCTACTCAGTCTGCAGCTCAAGCCACCCCACAAGCCTCTACAGTGTCTTCTCACATCCATCACGCCCACGATCGAACATTTCTAATCAAAGTGCTCTGAGTAGAGGCCAGACAGAGGCTGACAGACAGCTCTGCCCGGGGTTTCTGTCGTCTAATCACAATGTAAGGCGCACCGTGCAAATCAGGCTCCAGTTGGCCTAAAAGAAGTTCAAAAACGGATAATAATAATAATAGTAACGGCACCCTCCTAAATTCGCAGAGCTCCGGTTCAGCAATGGCTCTGAATCACAAAATACGAGAGACTGCAACTCTCAGCTTCGGCTTATGAAGTGATTTGTGGTTAAATAGAAATCAAAAATGCAATTTGAATCATTACAAACCCATCCATCTCCCAGCAGAAGCAGACAGATCTGCCATAATCCACAGATTATACGCTGGGTCACAATCTGCAAGGAAAACAAATCTGATTTTAAGACCTTGCAGACCAATTACTAAAAAGGATTTCTCAAATAAAGATTATCCATTTAGCATGCTTTTGTTACATAGCAACTGGTCAAACTGATAGCAGTGACGATACACATGACCCTGTGGCATTTTAAGCATCAAATAAGAATTAAAATAAATTTAAAAAGATGCATCCTGTATAAAATGGGCAGCACCCTAAAAATTCAATCAGAAATGACTCATCCAAGACTCCTGAAATAGATTAATTTTAATATTTAAAGCAATTATGCACAAGATGATATCATCTGGGTCAATGCAATAAAATGTCAAACAAATGTTTCAGTAGTTATTCACTCAAACAGTTCAATTAGCTTAGCTCTATAAAAGAAAGATATTTTATTAAGTGTTTCAGTCCTTTCCAAAAAAAAAAAAAAAAAGACACAAACCCAGACTGTTCTCACATCCGAGTACTTTTGGGGTAATTTAGCTGCAGCGAGGGTTAAATCAGACCTACTTTCTCTGTAATCAGGTCAGGTCCACACAGGTACTTCCTGACTGATAAAGAGCTGAGGGGATAGAGGACTCCAGGTTTATTGATGAGTTTACCATTTGGAAAAATATTTTTGGGTAACTCGGTGGCTTCAGAGAACAAATGAGAGCAACAAGCAACCAGACGAATATGTAAAGTTAGCTTCAACGCACACGGATATATTTGGATTAGAGGGGAAAGACATTGTCACAGTGTAACAATGCAAAATTATTCATACCCATTGAACTTTAGCACACGGGAACAACAAGGTCTAATGTATTTTATTGGAGTTTTGGGTGATAGTGGTAGACAAACACAAAGTAGTGTGTAAATGTAAGGCGAAAGGTGAAGGATGCTTCGGTTTTTATTTGTTCTACGGGGAAAGACATAGCTGTATGTTTAAGGTTTAAGAAAATGAACCTGCTGTTGATTTTTTCAAGGATTATCCCGTATCTAAATCCATCCTTCTCATCAACTCTGACCGGCTTCATCTGTCCCTGCTAAGGAAAAAAAAAAATCTTCCCACTACATTATTCTGGGAATATGAAATCTGTCTGTCTAATTCAATCAGTGTTTTTGTTTGTTACTTATTTTTACGAACTGGACGTGCATGCCACATATCCAAACATTTTAAAGCTCTAAAACGACTGGCAGTATTTGTTTATTTTTCTTGGTCATCTACCCCTGAAGAAACTCTAATGCATTTATTTTGTTTGGCTAAAAAACATTTAATATATGAACTGATTTTCCATAATTTCGCTTATGT